GTGTATTCATCGCGATGGGCTAACTGACCTGCTTTAATCCTCACCTATCATTCCTCAATGATGCCCCGCCAGTGTATACCGATAGCGCGGGCGTGGTTACCTTTCTATTATCACTCATTAAAAAAAAAACAACTCTCACTCAGGCAGCAAAGAAATATATAGTTTAATTGCAAAAAAAAATATTTCTATTGTAATAAAATAAGTGGACGACATGGAGGCTATAACTAAGCAATAAATCTGAAAATAAATCCTTCTAAGAAATGATTACTATCTGTTTGTTACTTCATCACTTGAACATGGCTAAACATATTTCAACAAAATTATAGGTATAATTCAGTTGATATTAGCAAAAATAATATAGCCTTTGTCAGTCTCAGTACAGCAGATCATGAGAAAAAGCTTGACCTCTCCCTTGTACGAAGTCGTATGGAAAGAAATAACCTTTTTATATTGGACAACCTCAAGGAAAACAAATTATCACTTTGTTTTCATTTTCACAAAGTTAAATTCGAATACCACGCGGACGAAGTTAAGGTGGAAGTTAGTAAAACAGTAAGTTTATTCACTTTTCAATTACGTTATTAACTTTTTATTTTACTTTTTTTTAATGTTTCCAAATATACCTAATTACAATTCAATTGTATTTTTTTTTTTACTAGCTGTACTCCGCGACTTCTCCTGCATAAATTAGTATATAAAGTAACCTATATGTTAATTTACAATATATAACCTACCCATGTACCAAATTTAATGCAAATCCGTTCAGCTATTTAAGCGTTATTGAGTAATAATATCTAAATATCCAAATATCTTCATAGACTCTCGCAATTATAATATTATTCATATAACTTCTGCAAGCAACGTCATATGCGTGGGCTTTGCAGATATTGGCTTCTAGATTGCGTATTAATATAAACTATACACCAAATTTTAGGTAAAACATGACTAAAGTGCCTGGGTCCCAACTATGGAAATCCAATTTGGTAATTTTTGGTTTTAGTAGAATACAGGAACAAACTTGGAGACAGACACACACTCAATTTATAATAATTATTGTTTTGCCTTCTATTGGCTATAGCTTTAAAACCTATCATATGTTTTTTCCTGTTTTTTCTTAAATATCTCCTTTCTACAGACATTATTTGGTTACAATTTTATTATATGTAGTATAAGAAAAGGTTGAAGTTACATTTTCTTTCGTTTGAGTCATAATCTTAATTAATTTATTTTTATAATTGAACTGTCAAACCTTAAAATCATTGAACTAAATTTCTATTCTAGGTAGTATATTCATTTATTTTAACATCCATTGTATAAGTAGGTAGATATTATATTTATTTATAGTATATGTATTTATGTAATATTTTATTATATATCTTAATATTTTATTTAACTATATATTTATTTATGTACACTAAATATTAATAGCTGTAGCACTTCAGCTGCCCGCTAACAACATGTTTTCTAACTGCATTGGGTTGACTGGAAGAGTTCTCTGTCAGAGATAATGTCCATCCTTGCTCACAATATTTATAAATGCATTAACAATGTAATTTACAAGTGCAATAAAGAATATATATATAAGTTAGATGATTATATATTAATCCATCATCTAAATTTTAAAGACATCTGACCTTCAATCATAATGTAGGCTTCAGAAGAATATGTATAAACAGACAATGTGTAAACATTTTCTATAAAACTTTCTATGTACGTATCTCTCTACATGTGTAAGTAACAAAACTTCTTTTGTGAGAGCAAAGCGTTTCTTTTTCGTACAGTAAGTGACCTTTGACTGTTAAAAAAGAATGTATACCGCGCTCGGTACAATGAATGAATCCCATTTTTATATAAAGTACATATCCCGTATCTCGGGTGTGCTCAATAACAAGATACGCGTCGATCATATAAGGTTATGTAATAATCATAGTTCCTTATGTATTTTACATATAAAGTATGTCAGAAGAGGTACTGTACTAGCTTACGCCCGCGTATTCGCTCGCGTGATTCGATTTCTCTCAGCAATCACTTTTCTGTCTCGGTCTTATAAATTATATCTGTTGTCCATGACTTCATTATCAAGGAGTTTTGTTATACAAACCCCTATTTTATATTTTTCCCCTGTTTTAAAACTTTCGAAATAAGTCAAGAGGATAAATAATTAATTTAAAAAAAAATACCTTCAATCCGTTCTTGCCTACAAATTAAAAAAAAATATTTATCGCATACGAACTCCAACGACGATGACTGCGATCACGTGTCTGCCCGCATTCGGGACGCTATCGCTATCTCCGCGTCCCACTCGGCCGCACACGCCGATATTGCCACTGCACTCAGATATTACCGTGCACGCACGTAGTGAACTTACTCGATACATAAAATCAGTCAACAGTTAATTACTTGTTATAATGTATTATCCATATTTATTACTGGTTCAGAAGCCTGTTTGAGGTAATATATCTCAAAACGCTGAATAATTTTTATTTATTTCTAATCAGAAGTCTAAAACTGAATACAATAAAACTCCCATACAAACTTTTATCCCTACTTTCATTCTATTTTAAGAGTGAATTCTTCAAAATAACATATTAATTTTTGTTTTGAACTTAAATCTAAAATTTCACGTATTCTTCGAACTTCGAAATTAACAAAATTCCAAACAAACTTTTCATAATTCCTTTCTTACTGTTCCCCTATGCTACATGAAGAAGGTTCTTCAAGATAGGTACCTACAAAATTTCAGACAAGATTCTAGATTCGACAATTCGGCTGGGTGCTGATTGATATATGGTTCAGTCAGTCAGTCAGTCAATTGATTTTTTTTATACAACTTAGAATGGCAAACAAGCTAACGGCCCACCTGATGGAAATTGGTAACCGTCGCCTATAGATATAAGCAGTACCATGGACATAACAGAGTATACTGTTTTCACCCATGATACCCCCCATGCGTTGCCATTCCTGAGAACTCAGGTGTTATTCCTCTGTACCCTGTAAATTCACGCCATATCCCACCCTTCAAACCGAAACACAGCCACGCAAACACAACTGCTTCACGGTAGAAACACGAATGGGATAGAGGTACCCAAGCAATCGACTTTTGTACAAAGTCTCCCTCTGGTAAATATAATCTGATGTATATATAGATATTTAGACATAGATATAGGTATAAGTGTAGGTACAGGTATAGGTATAGGTACTGATATAGGTAGAGCTGTAGGTATAGGTAGATAAAACTGTTGTTTCTTGCGGGCTCTTCTCAGCAGATAACAACTTTTCGAACCCTACAGTAGATTTAAAAAAAATGACGATTTAAAAGTGCTTGTAAATAAGTCTGTTCGAATAAAAATTATTTGACTTTGACTTCGATAGATAAACAATTTACAATCCTGCAAAATCATAACAAAACTGAACGAGTTTCTTTACACCGGTCACATCCGCTACGATTCACCGTAGCGTTTTGTACGAAAAGCGCTACGTTGTAGAGACCAGCCTATAATTAGGATCATATGTAATAAATTTATCAATTTATTAAGGTAATAGTGTACCTATTACCTTAATAAATTGAGTTCAATATTAGTAAAATGTTTATAGCTTAATATTAAACATTTTTAATTTCCAGTATATTGCTGATTAACAACTCTATGATACACTGTAAGAGATTATATGATGGGATCATGAGATCATCATCAGGAATTAACAACCATGGTTACTGGACAGAACTATATGAGGTTGGCCTAATAAAGTATGTTACTAGCAATGGAACTTTTGTACCTCATTGCTAACAATCCTTTCCTCCTCCTCCGTCCCCATAATAATCAGTTGCCCAATCTACGTAAGTGTATCGCTTCAGAACGGCGCACCTATTTGACTAATTCTTGTTTTTTTGTTGTGTTTGAAAAGGTTTATATTTATGAGACAAAGTTTATAAAACGAAGAGAAATGTTTTAAAAATCGTCATATTATCAAAAATCTTCATGTAAAAATTTTTTCATTAATCCGTACGAGGCCGGAGCGAGCCGCTAGTCTAGAAAATAGACTCTATTAACCATACCAAGTGCATATCGATTTACTATAATTTAATTAACAAATATAATAATAAATAATATAATGAATTGTATTATAATGATATGAAATCATTAAAAATATACGTTGTTAATTTGCAATTAACAAAAAAAATCAACTGCATACGTAGTAACTGCAGATCGTTAATACCTTCAACAATTTATTTTTATACAATCCCTGCCATCCTCTCGTAAAATGCCAATTCCGATCCAAAAATAAACATGTTCTATACGTATGTAAGTATAATGTACCCACCTTTATCTATCTAATTATTTTTCATAACGTCGAATAATAAAATCGATAGAGATTATATATATACATATATATATATATATATATATATATATATATATATATATATATATATATATATATATATATATATATATATATATATATATATATATATATATATATATACCTAGGTACTAGTACCTAATATCGCGTCTCGTTTTAAGTCCAAAAAATAAATTTAAATACAGAAACTTCTATTTATAAAAATACTTATACATTATAAATATACTTCTAATATAAAATAGATGTGTTTTAAATAAAAATTAAATTGTCGATATTACTTGAATATTATTAATATTGTGATTACAACTCTCAACAATAGTTAGATGTGGTATACTTAACTGTATTGTGGGCTTAATCTACTGTTAACCATTACGTTTAATTACATTTTCCTAAGTGAGTCGGATATGTAATGTCGCATACTCTGAATTAGTATTCAATATACTTAATTAAATTTTAGGTTATAATTACACTAACATAAATATGGTATTATAGAAGCACCATAATATCAGCTTTAAAAACTCTCGCATAGAGCCACGAGCGTACTAAAGTAACAAACACGTGGTTATGCTTAAGTTAACAACTCGAGTTAAAGTAGTCATAGCGGCGAATATACAACTTTTAATTAAGTCTAATCTTACCTTTTGCAGCTGAAACACGTTGGCCAGGTATTTGACCGCTGATTTAGCTTTCATAGATCATGCCGCTTATAAAATTCTTCGGTTGTAAACCCGAAGTTTACCGGCGGATTAACTTTCATGGTTACGTGTTACGATAAATTAGATTTATTATTTGATTGTAATTTGTTGGTGTAGTCTCTGTATTTGTTTTGCCGTTGGTCGCGTGTTGTGATGTTTCCGTAGAAATAATACGTAGGGGTGCGCTCGTAGGCAACCACCCTCGCGGCGCGACGGTCGACTACTACGCGGCTGACTCGCAAGCCGGCTCGCTCGCCCGCTCGCTAACTCCGCTAGTGACGCGCGCACTTCCGCGCCTTAACAACATTACACGGCGCTTCTCGGCACCTTATTGCCCACCCGAAGCGCATTAGCCCAGCTTTCACTTACGCGGTTTCAACTTTTATCTTTGCCCGGCTTCAGTTTTCAGCTTTCCGATTCAATTATCCCTAGGGAATTTGCGCCGTAATTACCCGTAAGTGTTCTATAAGACGACGTGCAAAGAGTATCGGAGGAGGGGGAGATAGCACTTGTACTTAGTATAACGTGATGTTCAGCTATTTGCATTGCATTTGGGAATAATACATCGAATAATAATCTAATATATCGAATATATCTAAGTACATTTTCGTATTGCCCGTGGTTTAAAGCGGTTTTCTTTCTCATTAATGGTTTATTTTTTAATAATACTCATGCATATAAATAAATCAATATGTTTAAAATTAGAATTATATAAATTTAAAGAGGCATTCTTATTATTTCCCATCTCTACGAAACAAGCCTACGCGCGCTCGGGCCGGGGTGTATGCGAATGTCCCGACCGCGGCCCGTTCCCCTACTCAAAGGTACAAATTATACACGAATTGTACGTATATATAAGTATTTCACATTGATCAATTCAAAAGAAATGTTCAGATTCCACTGAATCTTACGTAGCATTTCATGAATTGTAAAAAAGAATTAAATCGACGGATAACCGCCGATAACTCGTAACTAAGAAAGACAAAATTCTGGAAAAGTCACAGAAAACATCCTAACTGTGAATGTATTTTATATGCGATGAAACTACAAAGCGAATTAATTGATTTTTAATATGCATTCTCAATATATCATGTAAAAAATATTTTCCTATATAACGTAAGTAGGTTAGAAAAAAAATGTCAACAAGTATTTAATAAATGTCAATTAGGTATTATTGGTAATAAACCGTAGTTGATGTCTTTTTGTTAAATCTAACAATATGTATTATTATTCATAATATGAAAGTAGACATGTTTATTACTCATGTAGTTAATTAAATCCTTATACAAGATGTACTTATATTTTACTATCAAAACAAGGCTGAATAAAAGGCATTGACACCGTCTGGCGAATACATATATTTGATAGATACTGTGACTTTGGAGACGAGAGGAGGTTTTTTGAAAGCTTTCAGGCTATAGGTCCCGTTTGCCATCAGGCGGATCGTATACTTGAACATAACAGTTTTAAAAATTTTAACGATACGTAAATTAAATTTAACAATTTTGATTTTCGGCTGATTTAAAATACGTGGTGATTCTACTAGATCACGTTTTGGTTGTTATATATCAATCAATTCCAAAGCAATTTTGATGATAATTCATATAATAAAAAGATTTCATTACGTTTTAGTGTCAAGATTTATGACAATTTATATTTTTAAAGAAAATTTGAAATAATAAATAATTTGATAGTTATAAAAATTAACATAATGATCATTAAATTAATCGCATTACTAAAACTACGCAATCGTAAATGTAGGAAAATCATTATTTGGGCTCTCTTGTATTAGATTGCATTTCCCTCGACCATTCGCCATTTATCATTAAGATAATATATTTAAGAACACATATAAGAAAGTTATTTCACTGCTATACACAGAATCACGTGAAAATCAATTTATTATATTTTCCAGTTAGTCATATAGGCACTTTTAATATCAATTAAAAGATTAGTTTCTCCCGACAATTTATGAAATACAAGTCAGTGAGAGGTAAAATTGTTTTCTTATTATGAAACATGCATGCGATGTATCGTCGACGTTGGCTTATATTTTTATAATAACTGGAATATGTTTTTATAAAGATCAAAAGTGAAATTAATTATTTCTTATTAATTATTTACGATAAATAAATTGACAACATTATAAAAACAAATTAATATAAAAGTATGACTTAATACTGTATAGCATTCTCTCCTTTGAAAAAACAGAAAAGTAATTATGTGGTGAAAAATATTGGAAATTGATACGGGTAAATAATTATAGATATATAATATCCATATAGACTCACGAATCATTCAATATATACAGTAGAGAACTACATTATATTACACGATAATACATTGCAGTATAAATGAAGTAACTATAGTGTTCAAATAGTAATAATGATGTTGAACTACTCTCACAGCTTCTTATTAAGAAAGTCATTCACCTTTTAATCACTCTACTACAAAAGTATTTAGTTCCTCACCGTTACTGATATATGACCCTTTTTTTTTTATACGACTTAGAATGGCAAACAAGCTGACGGCCTACCTGATGTAAAGTGGTAACCGTCGCCTATAGACATGAGTAGTACCATGGACATAATAGAGTATACTGTTTCGCCCATGATACCCCTCAAGCGTTGCCATTCCTGAGGACTTAGGTGTTATTCCTTTGTACCCTGTAAATTCACGCCATATCCCACCCTTCAAACCGAAATACAGCCATGCAAACACAACTGCTTCACGGTAGAAACACGAATGGGACAGAGGTACCCAAGCAATCGACTTTTGTACAAAGTCTCCCTCTGGTTAAGTTCTCAGTAGTTAGTACTCAGCATATTAATATGTGTTATCAAAGACACATCATTAAAGGCTTTGAACCTTTGCTCATGATGGTCAACTTTATCGTTCCTTGAACAAGTACGAATATCACGCGATTATTTGAACACCATGTACAATACATCTCAATCCTTTGGATTTGTCCCGGAAAGCCGGTAAGGAAGCCATTGTGCGACATCATCAATTGGCTATCAATGTATTGTTGCTGGCTATATATATAGTAACAACAGCCTAGTGACCTCGCATCGCCTATTGTATACCATGGACCCCTTACACAATAATCCCTTTCGTGTAGTTGAACTTTGAACTTCCAAATCAACGAATTTTTGGAATATCATAATACTCATACACGATGTAACTGAAATAATTTACATTACTCTAAAAGTATTTTACCATTGAATTGAAAAATTTCCATTGAATATAGATCGTAAAAGGACAATTTTATCCGTCAATTTAATATGGGGGAATCAAAACTTGTTTTTTAAAACGTTTATTTTATTCCTACTATCAAAGTTTGTGAGAATGTATAGATATTTGTTATTCTATGACGAAAAGACTACTGAATATTAATAAAATATATTTCACAGAAAAAAAAACAAACATATAATACATTACTGTTTAAGCAAGACTTGTTTTATTTCAATAGTATTAAATAATAAGACATCTGTGTTTGAATTAAGCAAATTAATGCATATATTTTGAACAGAAGCACTCATCCATTCAAAAATTCACAATAGAATAAACATTATTTCCTTCTCTATAATATAATTTATTAAATTCATATCAAGTTGATCGGATTTGAATTAAATTTGATACATAGATATATTATATCCTAACTTAAAACAAAAGATGTTTTATATAATGATTCACGCGAACGTAGCCACGACATGCTCGTTTATAAAAACATTTGATAAATTGACAAACAGAAGAGTTATATCCTAGAATATTCCAGATTAGGCGTAAAACACATAACATATAAAGAGGCATAGTATACTAGCACACCTCGGACACTTCATATAAAAACGCCACGATCCGTGATTGTCACAACTACAGAAACAATTAACGTCTGGACAGGTGGCGATGTGTGCGCTTGTCATTACGATTAGCGCGGGAAAATAGAGTTTGGTTTCTGACGCGTATTTGAAAGGGGGTGAGATCAGATCGCTGCGGGCGGCAGGGTGTGTTCATACTGTACTTTAGTACTATTACTTATATATTACTATGATACTCGTTAACCTAATTCATATGATTATCCATAGCTGAACAAATAACCAGTATGCACTAACACATAAATAATTACATTAATTTTATTAAAAAACACTTGCACACTTACACAAAAATGGTAATATAATAAATATCTGACCAGTTTCGCCGTTTAGGGCATTTTTAAAGTTTAATCATCATCATCACATCAGTCTTTAACTGTCCACTGCTGAACGTAAGCCCTTTAAGCCATGAGACTTTTATACGAATTCTCCCTTTGGTAAACCAGTAGGTATTATTGTTTTTAAGTAAAAATCAAATAAATACATATTATTAAGTACTAGTTGTATCCCATGGCTTCGCCCGTGGTCGTATCGTTATGTTGAATATCTTTACGTTAATACATTTCTCAGGGGGGAATGGGATTGTTAGTAATGGAGAGTGAGAATCCTATTGCTAGCAATAAGTCGACCTCCTCGCGGTTCTCCCTGGAAACTATTATGGTTAATTCCTGAAGAATTCATCATGATGGGCTAACTGGCCTGTTTTCATTCTCATCTATCACCCTTCACTGGTGCTTCGCCAGCGTATCTCATTAGCGCAGGCGAGGTTACCATACCATTTTCACCCATCAAAAAAATACATTTCTCAAGAAATAAGCTATAAAAACAAAAATAATTTATATAAATATAAATAAATTTTTGTCGTTCGACTGTAGGTTCGAGAGAATATTCAAAGAAATAAACAAACACTTTTGCTATTATTTTAGTATGGATACATATATAAAATGCCCAGACCAATACAAACGTGCATGCATATGAATACAAAAGTTTGAATTGAACGGGGATCGAACCTGCAACAAAAGTAAGCGAGACAATCGCTCACCACCAAGGCCGCAATACAAATTATGGGACAATAGTCTAGTCAAAACAAATAATAATAGTAAATATCTCGAAATCAATTTTAATATAACAACAACCTTGTTATAATATCGAATGACGATAAACATAATAGAGTTAGGGGAGAAGGGATTATTAGTAATGCGGACTGCCAGTTTCATTGTATATATACCCTGTCAGGTTGATCTCCCTGCGGTGCCCCCTGAAAATCATCGTCCTGAATTCCAGGTCATAATATATCACGATGAACTAACAGACCTGGTTTTTTATTCTAC